CACCCCCCCAAACCCCACAGCTTCACGGAAGATTTTGCAACTAAGCTGTACAACAACAGATCTACGTTCAATACAGGAGGGTTCAGGGGTACTTGTTTAGGCGTTTTGTCTCTATTTAAGACAAATGACACAGTCATTATGATCAACTCTTTCATTATGACAGGATTACACACAAAAAAGGGAAAAGAATTTTAAGAGAAGCTTATTTATTTCAGTACATTAAAGGTATTTGGAGAAATGTACTGGCAGCAAATTCACAGGGCTTTCATAAACTGGCCCCTCATGCTGACTGTTATAAAAGCAAGCAATTACTGACATGGATCATAAAACACTCCTATGCTGTGCCAGTCAAATTAGGTTGGAGCTTTAATCATCACAGCCACAATGATTTTAGACTGAAAGATTAAAATGTGGACAATAAAAGCTTGAACACCTTCTCTGAAATCCCAAATAAATTAACCGTTGGTCATTGCAAAGCATTGCTGTGTTTTCGGAGATACAAAATCTGAGCAAAATATCAGAATAATATCTTGATCTGTATTTGATGGATAATGGGAACCAGCAAACAGTATTGCTGGAAACGTGTAAACAGCTCTCCCTGTCTTAACACGAAGCAAATAAATGAGCATCTAAATGTTAGACAGCTCATTTTTAGGCAGGTTGCATTTCTCAAGCTCAGTCTTCAAAACACATATGTGACCCTTGACCAAAGTGAGGAGAAGGAAAAGATCCAGACAGATGAAGGCAAGTTGCTTGGAATGCAGCTCATGCTTTTTCTGATATAGAATTGCTATTTTTTTCTTTTTCTACTTTTATCTCTACTTTACCATCTGGGTATTTCTGTCTGCCAGTGCAGTTTGTTTTATATTTAAACTCAGAGCTGTTCATTCAAACATTCCTTTTACAAGCCTACTCTATACAATTACACATACATCAGTTTGGAGTAAAGAGTTAACCTGTTAACATATCACATACAGGTACTGTATTCTAAACCTTTAAAAGGTAAAAAAGAGAAATCTCTCAATGTTAAAAATCTCTTACTTGTAGATACAGTTGAGGTCTATGCTATTGTAGAAAGAAATTGAACTTGTAAATAAGTCTTGTACACTTAAATCTGGATTAACAGCCGAATGACTGCAGGTTTCAAAGTATGGGTATGTTAAGTGCCCTAGTTTACATATAGGAGGATGAAAAAAGTGCAAAAGACGACTTCTAATGGGTATTTAAACATAAAAAGTGTATCACCATATATTAAGAACACAATGCTACAATTGTTAAAAACAGCACACCAAAATTGCAAAGTATACCATTATGGAAAAAGAAAGAACAATTCCTTCTAGTGGCAACCGGAAGTCACCAAATTACTTCCATAAATCATCTATATTCAGCTTTCCTAAAACACTATAGACATACCGTAAATTCTCTAATATTGGCCTGTATTCCAATAGCGGCCGGGTCTCTAATAATGGCCGGTCTCGCTGTCAGAGGAGGTAAATAATGGCCGGTCTCTAATACAGGCCGGGGCTATAAACGTTTTTTCTGGGCATACCTCAACATTATACTTGTGGTAGTAAGTAACATACAAGTACCACAGCCCTGCGCAGCTGAACGACAGGCCCTGCTGCTGCCCGTCTGCGCGAGGAAGAGAACAGACACGCAGCAGAACAGGAGGAGCAGCGCGAGTGATGAGGAGAATAAAGGGAGAGATGAAGAGGAGGAGGAAACTGAGGAGGAGAATTAAACAGAATTGGAGGATTTTTATATATTTTTTTTACTTCAAACCAAGCGAGACACGGTAACTGTACTTTTTCAATAAATGAACCTAGTGTTTTATAGGTTCAAATAGACACAAAATCTCATTTTTATTCATTCCACTGGTAGTCTGTTTTGCTCAAATAGCAATAGAGGCCTGTCTCTAATACTGGCCTCTATCCAATAAAGGCCTGGACCGCGATGCACTTGAGTGAAATAAAGGCCCGGGCCTATATTAGAGAATTTACGGTATTTAAGTTATTTTCTATGACAGGATTTTATTTCAATGTATGTGTATTTGGAATGACTTTAAAAAAAACTGATAATTCAAGTAATTCAATAATATCAAGTGATACAAAAAGATTAAAATACTTTTTTGAAGGTTCAGTTAAATCAGATAAATCAATAAAATAAAGAAACATTTCTGGTGGTTACTCAAAGTTTCCAATCCTTGTAACTGGATTCAAATGGATTGTAAAATCTGACGTTCTACTTCAGACAACCCTAAGCAGGAAAGCAGCCTGCAACGTGCAAAAATAAGTCTCCAAATATCTTTACAATGCCATTCCCAGGAACTACAGGTGGCTTTTATTGTTAATAACTTGTGAATGCCTGTAAAATTGGTATAATGCCAGATGCACAGTATATGGAGAATATTATTTCCAAAGTTTTACCAAGACAACAGAGACAACGAGCGAGACTTTGGAGCAAAGTCCTTTAGACTGATAAACCTGAACATTGGACACCTGAACAGAGAAGATGCTTGACACAAGTCAATTAAAGAGGCATTACGGAGTTTTCTAATGATACTGCCACCTGTGGCCACAACACAGAACTGCAGCAGTATTCTGCTTGTTGTCATAGTTTGGGCTCGTACTTAACAATATTGTTTTTTTTTTCACCTTACATGAAGCTGCTATAGTTGTCTCAGTTAAGCTGGATGCCAGGAGCTTCTGAGCATCTACAAGACATATCTTGTATATAATGTTTTGATTGTTTTCTAGGTCCGAGGCATTTAACATGTGCACGCTTGATGTCACGTGTGCTGAACAGCTCAGGAACTTTATACCCGAAGTAAATAAAAAAAAAAAGGCTACAGGCTTGTACAGTAGATGCATTGATGCTGAACTACTGAGGTGTCAGTCTGCACATCAAATGATGTGTTAGTCATAAAAGGTAAAATAAAAAGGTTATTTTAAAGATTTAGTTAGAGTAAAAACTTACAAAGTGTCTCTTTAGGAAATTAAATTAGTATTACATGAAAAATACCTAATAGCTCTAACATTGCTCATGGATCGAAGTGTCATCACCATCACAGATGTCTCTATGAATTCATGCAGTATTGTTCATGAATTCATGGTGAACTATTGTTCATCAGATGATGCTAGAGAAAAATCTAAGACCTTCTGCACAAAGCTTAAAGTAGAATTTGGCTCTGCAACATAACAATGTCCCCAAGTAGACTAGTAACATTTACGATGGACTGCAGAAATGAAGAAAATGCTCAAAAAGCATTACAGTACGAGGTGTCGGGGACACCTTGTGCACAACAACTATTTGCAACAAGTCAGCAGAAAAACAAAAAACATGATAAAAACAAGCATGGAAGCTCAAAAACATTTAAAAAGATCCCGAGCTCTGGGTCTTGTGACATTTAGGCAATTACATCCCAAAAGTTATTTTCCAGAAAAGAAAAAAAACAAAGAAAACAGAGGAGCATATAATTTTGTACCCACTTCCAGTGCAGTAACAGAGACTAGCAAGTCTCCTGTACATTACAAATTAAGCTGTTGGTCATGCTCCAAGAAAACAAAATACCTGCATGCCTTTTACTTTGGGCTCAGTACCCCTGCTCTTTTCATTTTATGCTGCCTTAGCCCATGATGTTTTTGGAGGTGGACCAGTGGTTGATCAGGGGGGAAAATGTGCTTTTGTCTCTCATTTACCACTGAGCAAAGCTTTTAAGTCTACGCACCCAGTTAGCAGCATAACTATACAGCATGAGACAGCTAGTGGGAACTATATTCAGCATTAAACCTTGCTGCAAACCCCTTTTCTAAGTACTTAGAAAGGGAAAGCAAAAATTTTTCTATTTTTAAACCATGTCATTAATTCAGTTATGACCTACAGCTGACATGAGAATAACACTTCCACTCAAAACCTTGAAAATTTTACAAAAATTCTAAAACATTTCTGACTTTCAACAGAGAACAAAACAGTGATAATAAACTGTTTGAATTTGAAGAATACTCACATGCAAACTGAAGTAGAGCCTCTCGACTGAGGATGATTCCATAGCTATTCTCAGCTTGACACTGATACTTCCCGTAGTCATTAATCTCACTTGCATTTGTAATAATGAGATCTCCATCTATGAAGGTGTAGCGATAGTCTGTCTTTGAATCTACTTCTGTCCCATTGATGTACCAGCTGAAAAACATAAGAGGGAAATTTGAAGATGTTTTAATGAGGGCAAACGTAATGAGATGAAATCAGAAGGGGGGACAAAAAAGAAAATGCACACCTGTAAGTGGGTGGTGGATTTCCCCGCGCCTCACAGTGCATCATCACTTTCTTTTCATCAGAATCCAATGGAAAAATAACATCATCTGGCTCTTGGATAAAAACAGGCCCAAACTCTTCTGTTTCTGTAAAGACAGAAAAAAAAGGGTAAACATAAAAAGATGATGATAATCGCTCAGTTCACAACAGGAGTGCCATCATTTTTCCAGTCCAATTACCTAACAATTAGGAACAGAAAATAACGATTTACAGCCTCATGCTGTGATTGAATTGGAAAGAGCTAAATGGCATCAGGATGGAGGCGACATATGTTTTCAGAGTATTAAAAGGCACTAGGAAGCATGGCTGAAAAAAAGCCCAATTGAGAAATAAAAAATTACAAATATGTGTGGAGAAAGCCTTTGAGACCTTACGGATACTCCTGTTCAGTATGATTAACTGAAAATAAGAGCTATAATACCCCTTTTCCTGGTCTAGGAAAACTGCAGCCAATTTACATTTACACCTTTAGACCCAGTGCAGTTTGCCTAAAAGGTTAAGTGAGTTGAGTGAGATAAGTGAGATTTTAACTATAGAGGTAGCTCCCAGCCAAGTTTGGAAGAGCAGAGCACAAAGTGAGCATCATTTATCTCCCTGGCTTGCTTCCAACTTTGGCTAGGCTTTTGGATTGCTGCTGTTCACTGATGTTCATTAGACAAAATAGTTGCTACATTTTTGCCACGCTTAAAAGAAAGACTAATTTAGCTGTTTAGAAATATACTTGTTTGTAAAAGCACGGACTGTAATGGTGTGAAAACATGGAGAAACACCAGGGAGAACAATCCAATCCAATTTATTTTTTTTTTTTTTTTGGGGGGGGGACTATAAACAGGAACGTAATTAGGTATGGGAGGGGAGGGAGAAAAGCTCACTCCGTCTATTTCCTGCTACTTCCTTGTAGGATTGAGCCTTTAGCATTTTAAATAGAGTTATTAAAGGTAATAATAGTAGTTATAACACTGTTCTTTAGTGCCAAATGTCTTACGTTTATGCAGTTTTTTTTTTTCTTTGATTCTTTAGCAATGTCAACAATGGTTAGTTGAACATTGCAAGGAGTTTGCCTAGTGGTTAGATCCCCACAGTCTGCACTCTGGCTCCCTGTGCAAGACCCTTAACTCCACACTCCTCCCAAGGCGCCGCAAAATGGCAGCCCACCGCTCCCCAAGGGGATGGGTTAAATGCAGTGTTAAATTTCTCCAATGTAAGATCAATGCACTTAAATTTCTTTATCCTTCCATATAACATGTAACAGAATGTATTTGCATCACGCTCTAATTTACATTTTAGTGCATTAAAGTAGCTTGACAAGAATTTGAAACTATAACAGAAAATATATAAATTTAACCTAGCACAGTATTTATACTTTTAAGTCATAGATTGTATCAATAGGTCTTTAAATAAAAGGCTTCGACATCCATGCATCAGTTTATCTATTTATTCTAACCGTGTGCTTAAAAATTAAAGACTAAAACACAGTGCATGTCAACCACACTTAAACATTTCCACCTCACAGAAGATACAGTAAACACCACTTTTTAAAGCAAAAAAACCCCGAAAACAAATATGCTTCTTCTGTTGTCTCTGAATTTAACAAACCTCATAGAAAATAAAATTTAAAATTTCAGTACTAAATTCACATGTGGGAACTATATATCACTTACGGCAGGGGTCTTCAACGTTTTCCAGGCCAAGGACCCCCAAACTGATATATGGACTTCAATATGGAGCGGGGACCGCCTAATTATATATATTATATGAAATTGTGTTATATCAAACTGGTCCTATAGTCACTCTATTACAGATGGAGTTATGTAACAAAAGTAATTTCTCCCTGGGATTATTAAAGTATTTCTGATTCTGATTCCTCTTTGATGGGACAGGTGTTGTGAATGAAACGGTGCCCAGCTTGAAAGAGCTCCTGTGTGTCACTGAATGTGAGCATTGATGCCTGAAAGACATCTTTTGCCTCCATTTATCTGTTTACTACAGTGTGTTGAATTCATCTTAATGTATATTAAAATACATTTGACTAGGTGGCACAATTGCAGGGGGGAATATAAAAAAAAAAGTCTAATGAACCAAAACTTTTGCGATCCCTATGCGGACCCCCTGTTAAAGACCTCCGACTCTGAGATTAACACTTTGAGAGATGTTTTTTTTTTTTTTTTATCTGTCCCTTTATCTCCTCCCTTTTTTCCCCTCAGTCCAAAGCAATATCTTCCTCTTCTTTTCTCATCTTCCTCTTCTTTTTCCCACCCTGGCTCTCCTCTATCTGTTGTCACTGCTGCTGTACTACATAGTTATTTTTTTCATTCCAACAGTTAAGAAAGATACTTTCATCATTTAAACAAAATTTTATGTTGGTCTAATGTTATAATATTTTTCTTTTAATCTATTATAATGCAAACTGACAGCAGAGCATCAAACCATGATTTTTTATATTTTTTGATCAGAGCATTTTATTAGATTAAGTACATTCCATACAAACAAACATAACCAGGTAAATTCACACATATTACCTAAAATAAACCCTAAGCATGAAACAACTTGACCCTGCCAACTATTGTTTAAAGCAAAACAGAACTCAATTAAAACCCATTAACATAATAAAGGTTCAGGATAACACAGTCACAGTCCCAGTTACCCGAATTCAAACCTCTACTGTAACATAGACCACCAAAAAAATGTCCAGCAGGTCTTGACATCATCCAAAAACCTTTCATTAGCTATTTTATATGCTATGTCAGAGTAATCAAAGCACCTGTTACATGCTTTTCTTACAAATGAAAAAAGTGGGGGGAAAAAACACATTAAAATTTAAACATTGAGCAGTATTTAAAATTAAGTTGTGATTAAAGAGAATTTTTACGCAAAATGGGCAGATTTCTTTGTTACGATTTGAGAGTCCAAAGTTGACCAAAATTGAAGATATGGGTTGAAGATACAGGTAAAAGGAACCTAAGTTATTAATAGTTATAAAGTCAAATATCAAGAGTTGGTGTAAAAGGGAAGGCTCTGCCAAAAAAAAACCCGATTAATATGGTGAAATGGCACATTGCTGTTTTGTTGCACCACTGACACCAAACATTACTCTGCACGTCTTTTCACGAATGGAGAGGGAAAGCGCTACCTTGAACGAAGCTGTAAACTGACAAGGATAAGTAGGCTGGGCTGAGTGAGCACAGCCAGTTGTTATTTGGGGATTTTTCGGCAAATTGCCTCGAACATGGAATGTCTGAGTTCACGAGAGGGTATGTTAGAAGGCCTGAGATCACACAGACAAGGGAGCACCTTGAAGAGAGATGCTGTTTCCATCTATTTTAGGGGATCTCCTGTGAAAAGCTTGCCAAGGAAATGTAGTGACCAGCCAGATCAAAACTCAGCAGGTAAATATGTGTCTCACAACACTAACCTCATACAGTGGTACTTACTGTTAAAAGCAAAACATAAAATAAAATAAAAAATGATTTGCCCAAAACTGAGATCTAGGTAAGCTAATCAATATAATAGAAAAGTGTATTATGATATATGTTCGAAACAGGGCAGGGTAATGCAGCAATAACTCTGTCCATCTGAACAAGACAGCTAGTTTCTTCTTTAGTATAGACTCTATGAAATCTATTTTGGGGTTAAATTTTCACATTATTAAAAAAAATATATATTTAAAAAAATCCCAAAATTGTAGTCTGGGAGTGCTTTTTTTGTAAGATTTTAACCACATTTCTCAATAAATGTTAATTTTAGTGGTGGGACATTTCTTTCAAAATATTTTATCAATGTTAACTTTCCATAAACATACAGTAGATAAAACAAATTACATTTTCTAAGTTGTCCAAAAAAACATACATTTAACGTATAACATAACCACAAAGCTTATTTTGTTTAATGACTAAGCTGCAGCTTGCTTTTCTGCTGCGAATAAGATCATGTAACTTTTTTTTTTTCACATTCTACAGTAAATATTCTGATAATCTAGATAAAGTGTCACAGCTTTATAAATAAACACATCTTGCTTACAACCTTTAGAAATATAAACTGACCTCTAGTTCCTTCACATTTCTAAATGTAGATTGATACAGTAAAATCAATTAATTGCAAGTTCTGGTTGTTTTTTACTTCTTCTCTCTCCCTTTATCACAATCTACAGAGGTTGGTTTACTATGCTCAGGAGTGCCTTCAACTAATACAAAATCATTTTTACACAGCTTTTCCCATTACTCTATATAATGCTTATCTAAATTTGAAATTCTGTCTAACTAAATCTTCAGTTTTTTAAAAAGAACCTTTCCCTATGATTTAAGAAAATAATGACTATAGTAAATCCAGCAATTATCTTAGTATATTATATTGTAAGTGACTTGTTCAACTCAGTTGAAACATAATATTTGCTGACTTAGAGGTTGATCTGGAGTACCCTCAATGGAAACATGGAAATCACTCAATCTTGAGTAAATGCCACTATTTAGAAAAGATCTCATGTCAGGATTTGAGTCAAGGCTTTTCACTCCCTGTGTATACAATTGTACCAGGCATTTTTCACCATTGTATTGCTCTATAGGGAAATGAACAGCTTTTGAAGTAATATCCCAATCACTGGAGGAAAATTCATCAGTATTAAGTTTCAAGGCATGCTGTGTTACAACCCTCAGTCTGAAGCATTGGTGGTGTAAAAAAATAAATGAAAAACCAGAGTTCACTACCCTCTCACATTATTCTTTGTAGCCTAACTGTCTTCCAAGTAAAATATACTCGACAGCATTGATTTGTTGAATGCGTCCAACTTAGCTACTACCATATTTGAAACTAATTATTACAAACAAAGTAATATGAAACATAGAGCTGAATAAAATATCTAACAAATTATTTGCAATTGAGTTATCATGTATGTTTTCACTGTTAAGGTCATGTTAAACAAAGATTTCTAAAAAGTTGCACTAAATTGCATTGCGCAATTTATCTTTACTATGGGTAATAAGTGGATGTCTTGAAAGTGATTTGCAAAGATTTCTGCAAAATTTTAGGATGTGGAAACAATTTTGCTTAGGTCCATTAAAATAAACATATTACATGTGACAGTTATCATAAA